AAAAAAAAAAAAAAACTATACCAAAACCAAGAGGAAAACCAAAAAGAATCAATCTTGGTGTCATCTAATGAGCTTTTGGTCAGCTTCTTCCCAAATAATAGCTCTGGTCTAGGTTTATTCAATCCACTATTCCACTATTATCATAGTCTCTCTTTTTTCCACCCTTAAACTCAAAGACAGTTTTAGTTTGGAGCAGTCACAGTTATCATTTGTCACAGCTCACATGTTACGTTGGCACATGAAACCTCAAGTTTGTAGCACTCAGACAGCATCAAGGCAGCTGAATCTCTGATTTTTCTCTCCGCCTGTGCTAGTCTCCTGGTGGCATTGAGATGGTTCATCGTGGGGTTTGGAAAAATGTCTTGCAGTGCCTGGAGATTGCATATTATTCTCAGATAAATGAAGAGTATGCACCACCTCTTTGATTCAGCCTAGAATATGTGTTCTAAATGATGTATGTTTGATGTATGCTTTAATTCTTCAAGAATTCCAGGTCTAGTTCTGTTCCAATTATTCTGGCGATAGTGGGATTGATGCTGGTCACCATCGTAGCAGGAGTGCTGATTGTGAAGAAGTACGTCTGTGGAGGAAGGTAAGAGTCCTACACGTCAGCCAGAGGCACTGAATTCAAACTAGAAAGTAGACCATATGGTCGAGTCTGTCCTTGGCATTAACTAGCTAGTTGAAGCGCTGCTCCTGAAAAATATCAGACCCAAATTTCCTCATATCTTGCATTTCCTTATGTCAGCTGTGAGCTCTGCGTCCTATGATGTGTTTGTTACTCATTCTGTGATTGTCTCAACCCTAGACGATCCACAGTGCTGTAGGTAATGCCCCTTTCATGCACTGGGAAGACTGACCGAGGTTTCCATCTCCAGGTTCCTGGTGCATCGATACTCTGTGCTGCAGCAGCACGCAGAGGCCAATGGAGTGGATGGCGTGGACACGTTAGACACCGCCTCTCACACCCAGAAAAGCGGTTACCATGATGACTCAGATGAGGTGAGAGGAGAGGATTTATTTGGAAGGGTAGTCCAGAAGGAGAAACAAAGAGAGTTCCTCTTTTATTCATGATCAAGATGGGATTGGGACAAAGGCTCATATCAACTGGAAGCTGGATCTTCATAGCTGTAACTTGGGAAACCCAGAAACTAGATGATTGCCTCCAAAATGGGACTTTTTCTGTTTGTTGATAATGCAGCATATGTCTTTCTCTTCAGGATCTCCTGGAATAGCTCTTCACAGTAGCTGGGACCAAGCACGGATGATGGATCTGCAGTACCTCTTACACTCTCTATTGCTCAGACTTGGGGAAATAAATTTCCCATTGCGAGGGACCCAGCTCTGTTTCTGCTGCTTCCATCAAAAAGCCAAAAGGACCTAATACAAAAGAAATGCAGGGTGGGGTGGGGAACCCCAAAATACTCTTAGAATTTGCTCTGAGAAGAAGGGAGATATCTTTAAATTGTTTAAGTTTTACATTCTTTTTTGGTTTTTTTTTGCAAAATACGGGCTAATTTTGCTTTTGTTTCTACCTTTTTTTTAAAAAAAAAAAGGGAAAGAAAGGAAATGGAGTTTGAAGGGACTATTTCACTAACCCCACTCGTGTATGTTTTCCATGGTGCCTGCCCCGGGGCGGTGACCGCTCCTGCATCCCAGCATCCTTAGTACCGTCCCTGGGCTCTGCTGGCCACGTGAAGCAGCTGCAGAGCTGAAACGGAAGCTGGAAGGACTGGCACAGCCTGGGCAGCTTTTCTCCATCTGGGGCCAGTCCTGCTCCAAGAACATTGCACACTAGCCCTCACACAGATCCCCAAGTTCCCTCCCCGCCAGGGACCAAAGACTACAGTGATTTTTCTTTTCCCTACTGAATTAGGCAATACCCTTTTGTTAATTGACCTTTGGCAACTAACTTAACCATGTGCTTCCAAGATACTAAATCAGGAAAACTTAAAGGGCAATATGTTTTAACTTGGGGCAGGGGAAGGGAGCAGCAGAGAATCGCCTAGATTTAGCACCTATTAAAGGAGAAATTCTTAACTTCTTCGAGATCTTTTACGCTGTGCTTTGTATGTATGCCAGTGGACTTGCTCAAGGACAGGGTGCAGGTTTGTCCTGCGTGTCTGCCCAGGCCGACCGCTTCACTGGGTTCTGAGTGCACAGTGCAGCCCCGAGGACTGAACATAAGAGTCTTCCATCTCCCCCTACCTGTTGGGTTGGCTCGTTTTTGAGCCATTAAAATGCCCGCTTACTCACCCTTTTTACTGTTGTACCTGGATCCAAGACTAGTGATGCTTTTGGATCTGTAGGTTTTTAAATTAAACAACCAACCAAATAAAACCCCTCCAAAACAATCTCCTCACGTAGTCCCCCTTCCCAGTTTTGCTGTCATCTGTTGGCCTGGAGCTTCTGGCTGAGCCAGTGGGAAGTGAGCTTCCGGTCCGGGTGATGTTCAGTGTGATACATTAAGTTCATACCTTATTAAATAAAAGGAAATTTTTCACTGGACATTTTCCCCCACATTAAGTAAATTCTAAACTAACTGGGACAAATTTGGGGGTGGACATGTAGTAATGGAAAGTGGCAATAATTAGTTTTAATATAGCTTGAATATTTTCTCTACAAAAAACATACTAAGTTTTCAGTTAGCCACATCTATATACTGTTCACCGCTCCCAGTACATATGATGGGGATGTTTTTTCCATTGGTGGCTGGTAATTGACACTGTGGCTGTAAAGTCTGCGAATGTGCCAAATTAACTTGTCAGATGAATGTTTGCGCAGATGGCGAAGCTCTCCTCACCAATGTAGATTCACAGCAGCAGGGAACATGGGGAGAGACTTAAAGCTGCTGAAAAGCAAATGAGTCAGGGAGCATCAGTCAGAAAATAAAACTAGGACAATGTTTGTGAAGAGGATATTGGTTACTGACCAGAGAGTACAAGTCTTTTAGGAGATTTCATTAAATTTGCATAGACAGTTGCAAAGATATACCAGCTCCCAAATGATAAAAGTATCAGTCTATCTCACATTCTCATGTCCTGCCCAAAGTGAATTTAATGCCCAGAAAAGGCCTGTTCATTTACTCCATAACACTTTCATAGGGGGCCCTGGTAGCACAGTGGTTGAGCACTCAGCTGCTGACCCAGAGGCCAGCTCTTTGAACCCACCAGTTGCTCTATAGGAGAAGAGCCTGCAGTGTGCTTCCATAGAGATTCACAGCCTTAGAAACCGCATGGGGCCAGTTCAGCTCTGTTCCATAGGGTTGCTACAAGTCATTGACTTGCTGACAGTGCAGGCTTTTTAATGCTGTTGTGAGTAGAGATACATGCTTACATATGGCAGTTCTTGTACTAATTCTAAAGTGTAGAAAATGCCAATGATTGGAAGGTTACTATTCTCTTAATTGTATACAATAAGGATTCTTTGTTTATAACACTATCTTATGTTTCTGGAGGAAACATTTCCAGAGCATTTTCACTTGCATTATGTCATTTAAACCTCACAAAATTCCTATGGTACAAAGAAAAGCAGGGTTTAAGTCCAATTTGGGGAGCCAAGCCCATTGTATAAGCAATGCCAGTTTGGTTGTTTCCAGACCTCTTGATGGTTGTCATGCTTGTAGACACTGAATACTTGAAGCAGGGCCCCTTACAGATGACTTGCTGTGTAGCAGTCCAGGAGAGGCATCTCCAGAGTAGGCCGCCATCTCCATCCTCCTGTTCCCCTCCCTGGCTGCTTCAGTCCTTTGGTTTGAGTATCATTCCATTTATTGACTAGTTAGCTCTCTGAATCACCCTGCTTGGCCTCAGCCAGAGAGTAAAATAGCTTAAAACATTATAGATTCTAAGGAAAGAAATTTCTAATTTACCCAGCTGGTAGTAGGTTAGGAGCATTAACCTTGAAGGTGAAACAGCATTTCATTGTGTAAATGCCTAGGCTTTATGGTGGCAGAGGATTGTTCCTAGAGGTTTTTGCAATTGAATTTGACATTGTGGTTTCAGATAGGGCATATCATGGAGTGTAAATTCTTCTGAGCCCTTAAAGTGGAAAACCCACACATCCTTTCTGCTTTGTGCGCAAGTGGCTGAGACCTGGGGCCATTTGGTTTCTAGTAAGACTGGGTCTCTGGAGGTCTCTTGGCCCCGTCCAGAGATGAGCATTGGCTTCACCTAGGTGCTTAGTTGAACGGTGGCCCTATTCAGAAGGATCGGAGCCTTCCGAGGTTTATGGCAGTTCTGGAGTTGAGTCAGAAGAGTCCATAGATAACAGAAACAGAATTTTCCACCTGCTCTAGATAGACTTCCCATGGCTGTGTCTCTTGCGCTTTGGTTTGTCTCAGAGCCTCTGTGCCCACTCTGGCCTTTGATCCCTGACAGGCAAGCAGTGTGCTGGCCTTCACAGCCGTGAGCAGAGCTGGCTCTCCCAAGGCCTTTGTCCCAACAGCAGGGTGCAGAGAGGCATGCAGGGCCTTCCTTGCCCACCCTCGGCGGCAGGGTTGGCTTCATCTCAGACACCTATTTTCCAGGCAAACCATCTTAGAAAGAGTCTCTGTCCTTTCAGAAGAGCTCTGCACTATAAACAGTGGCCCAGAGTTCACCCTGCTCTTTGTAGGCACACGAGGGTGTGGAGAGTGTTTGGAACTGCTTAGACAACTCTACTACCACCTTTCCTCAAGCAGGAAAGTGAGCAGGAACTTAGATGACCTTTGAACAAAACCAAAGTTTAAGGTTTGTCACTTGGCAGTGACAGGGAGAGCCAAAGTCAACAGCTGCCAGACTCTATTTCACCAGCCATCTGTTGTCCAGCTTCAGCAGGTCAGGGAGCAGTACCCTGCCAGCGGAGCCCAGGCCCACCGCACAGAGAACAGAAATAGCAGGAGAGGAGCACACAGATACCGGATCCCTTTGTATTTTAACAGTGAGAATCAGAACATTCATTTGAACTTGACTTCAAGTTTGCTATATGCTTCCCACACACACACACCAGTACATTCTTAAGCATCCTTGTTCATATAGAATAAAATGAACAAATCTGCACCTTTATATATATGTGTATGTACATATATACATGTATAAACTGTATAGTGTACAAGTTAATGATTTATTAATGAGCCTAAATCATTAATGCCATTGCTATCCTCCGCATGACCTCAGTTTGTGGTCGGGTGACTTGAATGTTCCCTGATGAGTCTGCCCACATGCTGTGTTTGGATGTCCAGGGAGAAGGGTTTTGGTCAGACTCTCCTCGTGCACAGAAATGCTCAGGGTCCCCATGTGCCTGTTGTTCAGCCCCTCTTGTCTCTTGTTCCCTTTCTGAGCATGTGGCCCCTCCCTGTTCATTACTTCCCTCAACCCCACCCCCAGCTGTGAGACAGCTGCCTTCCTCCAGAATAAAGCAGTACTAAGACCATTACTGCATGTGCGCTAGAAGTCCATGTGTTCTGTTCCATTGGGACAGAAAATTGCATGTGAGGTGGGATAATCAAATTTCAATAACCCATGTTAGTTCCACAACAAAGCCAGACCCATAATAAAATTTCACAAAACAGAAATGAAACTCAAATTTCTTTAGCATTGTGTAAATAAATCTGGATGTGTTTAACTTTGTACTGGTAATTTTCTGTATATTTGCAATATTTGGGTTAGAAATAAAGGAGACTGGACTTTGTTACCTAACCTGCTGAGATGGCTAAGATACAGTTTTTTTAATATGGTAATTTTCTTCTACTTTTTTGCTTCAAAAACCAATCCCCAGCAACCAGAGAATATACCAATTAAAAAGCCAAGATTGAGTAAATCTTTCTTGTTCATACAAATTTTTCTTCATTGGATATTTATGAGACCAAGTGTTTGGTTCCTACCACCAAGAAATCTTAACAGATCCACCCCACGCCCCTGTTGAGGTTTCAGTTACTATACTTGTCCTTCTGAGCAACACCATGCAATGCTCTCCTGGCTGCGTATTCCTGTTATGCGGTTTGACCGTTGAGATGTTTCCCTTCGGTTTTTCCTACCTTCCCTTGCTTTGTCCTTATTCATGGTACATTCCTGATGTGTTTCATGTAAGAGCCTTTAGACCATGCAGCTTTCCTCTCTACCAGTATTTTCCTTTCAGTAGAAGTTCCAACTCCCCATTTGAGCTTTTAACCTGGAGTAATAATTCCCATGTAATATTCCAATATCACGTTTTAAAGATGACAAAGAAGATCCCACCATCTGATGGAGTAATTTCCTGTACTGTGATCACTGGGTTGCTTTTGAAAATGTAATTTCCTTGATCCCACCCTCAGTAAACTCATTACCATGGAGCTGGAACCTGACCCTCTAGCAGATTTCTCAGAGGCTGTAAACAGCACAGGAGATGGCTCAGCTTTCTCCCTTGGAGCAGCTGGTAGATTCAAACTGCCGACCTTTGAATTGACAGCACAATTCCCTCTCCACCAAGCCACCAGAACTCCCTTGACTACACCCTGGACCTAGTGAATTCGATTTTCTGATGTGCTTTTCTGAAGTTTAAATCTGATTCTTTTACATTTTCATTGGAACAAAGCGGGTTCAATTTGAAAGCCTGAACTACTTACTACCCAAAAACTGGCTTAAAAATTGTATTAAAATGGTGTTTGAGGTGACAGTTGGTATGAAAACTGTCGATATGTAGAGGGTCCCTGGCTGAATGAAGCAAGAAGAGGAGAGGAACTTCGACCTGGTCCTGATGCGGCACAAGCCCAGCCTTTACCAGCCAGCCCAGAGATCTGTCTCCACAGTTGCCCTCTTTGGCTACACTCTGGTATTCCTGGGGGTACAAACAGTTAATGCATTTTACTGTTCACCTAGAGGTTTGAGTCCACCCAGAAAAATCTGGCAGTGTATTTCTGAGAAGTCAGCCATTGAAAAGCCTGTGGAGCCCAGTTCTCTGACATGTGGAGGCACCATGCAGCAAGTTGACTTGGTGGCAAAGTCTCAGATTTCTCAGCCTGAAATGTATCCACACACGGTACTGCTCATCAGCCCCTTAGAGAAGTTCCCTGTTGTGTCTGCTCTTCACTCAAGATGGTACAGACCCGAGTCGGGCAGCAGTAAGTGCTCAACTGCAGAACGAAGTATTGATGGTTTGGACCCACCAGCCGCTCCGTAGAAGAAAGGTGTCGCACTCTGCCCGCTAAAATGCCGCAGCCTTGAAAACTCCGTGAGGCCAAGTGTTGTTCACACCGCCCTCAAGTTGAGAGCCGAGGAGAGAGTGAGGCTCGTTCATTGACTTTTCTTCCATGGTGAAGAGAAGAAGAAAGCTAAGCTGGGTTCCAGAATATAGGAAAGCAGGGTGTAATTAGAAACCAGGTAATTTGGATGGTCTGTACAGCACATGTGGAATTATGGTTTATTAGTTTCAGGAAGACCCAACTGTGAGCCACTGCTCTATATATAACTCGTATCCTTATCTAAATTGTGGTGCTATCATCCCATTTTACAGAGTTCTGAGGTTCAGCACGTAGGTAGGTTGTCCTCTGTCACTTAGCTCACGAGGGAGCCCTGGAGCCATTGCTCACACTCGGGTTCGGGACCTAGTGCCCCTGGCTGTCCCCACCCCAGCCATTTGACTGGTCCCGCAGCTCACAGGCAAAGGGGACGTGGACAGCTTTCAAAGAGAGATGCTGGGCTTTCCTAAAAATAGCTTACATTTTGTCAAGCCTTTAGCCACACTCTGCTAAGCCCTCTACACAGATTACTCTTCTAAATCCTCACAAAACACCCGTGCTGCTTGTTATCTCCATTTTACAGAGGAGGAGCCACTCTAGACAGAGACCATGACATGCTGCAGCTCACACAGCTAGTTGGTGATGGAGCCGAAGGTCAGAGCCCAGGTAGCCTGACCCCTGTGTGCGGACTCCACCCACCGTTGCAGCGCGCTCCACACCTCTGGGGTCGCGGCGGAGGGAGGGGCGAGACGATGCGGACAGTCCTGTACAGACTGGTTAATACGACTTAACTCTTTGGAGGAAGAGTGTTGGAGATATGCCCGTGAATCAGCTAGTTCTAGGTCCCTTCCTTGGACCAGGACACCCTGTTGGATGAGCTGGAGGTCAGGAGCCACCACGTCACCCAATCCTCCTGACGGAAGCCAGAGGCCTCATTTGTGTGGTCTGTGCCCAAGCTGTCACCTCCCTCCCTAGCACTATGAGAGGGGTGTCATCTCTCTCCCAAGATAACAGGGCCACCTCAGCCCTCCTCCTGTGGCTATTCTGGGCTGCTCTCGGCTCCCCCTCTCTTCCCCTAGCCCCTGTTCCGACCCTTAGATGAGACTAGCAGGATAGGGAAAGGCCAGCCCCATTACATAACCCTGGGCTGGGACCCTGGAGGCCAGGCCTGAGAGCAGGTGCTTCAGCCCCTCCATCCATCAGCACAATCAGTGACAATCTGCTGCTGGAGCCTAGCCGCAGGCAAGCCCATCATGGAGACAGCCTCCCTTTCAGAGGTGGCCCCAGGAACCGTGCTTAAGCTGAAAGGAGACAGCCCAGCGGATGCGGAAGGACCCCAGGCTCCACCTCGACAGGGAGTGGACAGCCCCACACCCCAGCACCTGTCCCCCATAGAAGGTGACTCATGGGCTGGGGGACTGGGTAGAAGAGATTGGGGAGGGTGACCCCATTAGGGGTTCACTGAGCTAAATGAGTTTATAGATAATGGTACCTAGAATGGGGATCCTTTTCCCTTCTTTAATGGATTCTTGATGCTAAAGTGTTGTTACTAGAATTTTTGGTTTTCGGGTTGGTAAATGGTGTTTGTGACAGTTTATAGTGACTAAAAATCATACGGTTTATATTTTTAATAGTTTAAAGTATATCTGTCACAGGGATTGGGAAACTCTGATTTGCTAATGGCCAGTAAGGAAGGGGATGAGGATAAGGGGGTGGCCATCGAGATGAGGAGGAGGAGGAGGAAGCTTACAGCCCTGGAAGGCCAAGCATCGTGGCACTCAGGCCCTCTGCCGCTGCCTTGGTGGGGTCACAGGGCCAGGACCATCTCGGCACCCTGGCATCTTCCATGGGGAGGACCAGCCTTCAGAGCTTGAGTTCCAAAGGAGGGGAGCCCTTCTGAAAGAAACATTGGGCTTTCCTCCCATATGGTTCCCCTGAGACTATCAGGAAAAGGGCATTCTCAGCACACACACACACACACACACCCGTCCCCTGTCCGAGCTCGGTGACAGCTCTGTGAAGCTCACCCGAGAGACAGTGGAAGCCGAGCACAGCTATGTCTTCCACTACACCTGTCTCAGCAGAGCAGAAGTGGAATCCAAAAGCTGGGTCCTCCCTTCTGTGGAGAAACCGATGATTGAGAAAATAGGTTTCTCCCTCCCCCTGGATGACAATTGGCAGGAGCAGTCATAAGTCTGTATTAAACACTTAAAAGGGTTACCTGTACAAAGTCCCTACTTTCAGCACCTTTCAGTCTAAAGGAGACCACAAATGAGAAACCTGTGGAATCCCAGGACTGGGAGAAATGTTGGAGGAAAGACGTCCTGGCCTTGAAGGCACAGATCTGGGCTTGTTCCTAGCCTACCTGACCTTGGGCAAGTCAGTCAACTGCCCCACTTCAGTTTCCTCTCTAAAATAATGATGAGTAAGATCTCATGACTAGAGTCATTGAAAAGATAGTTAATGCTGTCCAAAGTGCCTTGAAAGAGGCCACACCAAGACGTAAATAGATGATAAGACATTTCCAAGGGAGAGGGGAAGACTAGGAACCACCACCAAATAAGGTTGGGCATAGGCAGATCCTCACCTCTTTTCATCCTAATTGCAATGATTGGGCTTTCAGAAGCTGAATGTCAAGGCCACAGAGTTTGCCCCAGGGAAGAAGGGTGGGTTGTTGTTGTTGTTATGTGCCGAGTCGTTTCCGACTCCTGGGTAGAGGGAAGTTTTTGTGGACATACTAAGCTGGAGTGACTAAGGCAGGAAGCCAGAGTTTTTCCTCAAGAATTTAGTCATAGCTAAAGGGAGAGACTTGGAATGCTGACTCCCCACTTCTCTTGCTCCTCACAAAATCCTGATGGGGCATCTCAACTTGCCCACACTTTTCTCTCACAGTCCTGGCCACAGTCCCACAGTGCAGCCTGAAGACCCTTGTCCCTGTGTGCTCCGTGCTCCACAGGCCTCAGGGCCACCAACACCAGAGGTCACTGGTAATCAGGACACCATTGTAAGCTTTGCAAAGCATATTTGCATTTATCATCTACTTGCAAAAAGAAGCCATGAATTCGAATGTCAGCTCTGTCCCTATGTCCCTAGAAAAGCCATTCCACTTCACTAGGACGCTGTCTTCTCATCTGTAGACTGAGGAGTTGAACTAAATCAATGACTCTTACCTTTTGATGCATAGGGAAATAAAATTAAAGCTGTGTACTCTCATCACAGGAAAATACCCAGAAAAGTTCTCAAAGCCAATGAAATCCACCCAGGGCTCCTTCGTGGTGCCCCTCCCTGCTGATTTCAGCAGAATTGTTCCCACTGAACACCTGTCTGAACTGATGTGGGTTTTCCAAGTGTGTAAAGTAAAATCCCATGTCTGGGAGATCTCTTTCCCTCCCTCCCTCCATCCCTTTCTCCCTCTCTTCCTCCTCCTCCTCCTCCTCCTCCTCCTCCTCCTTATTCTTTCTCTTTCTCTGCTTTCTCCCTTTTACCTATATTTGTTTTGTACCGATGAGTATTTTAGGTGCTCGGAGTATAGAAATAAACAACGAGACAGAAAGGGCCTCATAGATAGTACATTCTAGTGCAGGGAGACAGACAAATAATAAGTAAGCGTATAATAGATGGCGAGAAATGCTATGCAGAAAAACAGCCAGAAAGAGGCATAGAATGCGCTGGTGGTAGAAATGCAATTTTTAATGGGACATTCTGTAAAAGCTTCACTGTTGCTTACTGTTGAGTCGATTTCAATTCCTTGTCTAGTTCTCAAGCCTGCTTCTTCATGATGAGAGTGGAACTGCCCCACGTCGTTTCCTAGGAGTAAATCCCAAAATCTCTCATGATGCTGCTAGTGGGTTTGCACAGTTGACTTCTCCGCCAACAAGCAGTATTTGAACAACAGCTGAGCATACTTGAGAACACAATGTATGCAGACGTCTGAGGGGAAGTGGTGGGGTACAGAGAATGCAAAGTTCCTAAAGCAGGCATGCATCTTGTGGATTGATGCTCTTGGGACCATAGCCAGTGGTAGGGGGAAATGAGGTCAGAGGGGTGTCTGAGCCATTGAAAAGACTTTAACTCTGATGGGTTTTAAGGACTTTTCTGGTGGCTGTTTTAAGAAGAGATTCTAGGCTGGCTTCAAACACTAGCAAGATCGTCAATTAAGAATGCAAATGAGCTCTGCCGGAGAAGGAGAAGGAGGCGCAATATCCTCCTGCACCAGTCAGATCTGATTTGATGGTACACGCACACAAAATAATAATAATTAAAAAAAAGAGAAAAAAAAAGAATGCAAATGAGAGGAAGGATATGGAGGCTTGAGAAGCATGTGTTCAGAAGTCACACAGGAGAACAGAGGATGAGGCGAACTAGGAAAGTCTAGTAAAGTTGGCAGGCTCATTGGCATTAGTGGTTCCTGGTAGTGACCATGACTTTAAAGTCAGCACGTTGTTAGTTGCTGCAGCATCGGCTCTCACTTGGGAAGGCCTTACCTATCACAGGATGAAGCCTTTGTCTGGCCCTGCGTCATCCCCATAATCATTGGTATGTCTGAGTCCATTAGAGCAGTAGTGTTTTGTGTTTTTCCCTACTCACTCACATTTGGCTACGTGGATGCAGCCACCAAGTGGGTGGGAAGCATATATTCAGGGTTAGGTTTCAGTAGAAGGACAAATGAAGTGAAAGTGGATTAAGAGATTGGCATGGGTATGGGAGGAAATTAGGATGGTGAGTGAGGTAGGCAGGGATGACATGAGAAAGGCAATAGATGGTTAAAAAAGCAGGGGTAAGAGGGAAATAGGTGGTAGCACTCAAGGATGCTGAAGAATAACCAGTATTGATTGGGAAATTGTATTAAGCAAGGTATGCTAGTTGATAAAATCAAATAGACGTCAGAATTCAAGGTTCAAACACAGCAGGTGTTCATTGCCTGCCAGCCTAACAACTCACAGCTAATATTACTGCAAAATGGTAATATGTTTTAAATATTTTCCTCTATTCTTTTTCCTGAGACTAGAATAAGGAAATAGTCATATATCTTAGCTGAGTGAGATTAGGTGGGTATTAAGAACTTCCTAATTGAGAGGAGTCAAGATCTTTAGACTTTAAATAGTCTCCTCTACTCATTAAAAAAAAATAGACACCATTCTGTCTGAGATAAATACAGCAGAGAGAATCACATGGCTCAGAAGAGAATGACTTTCAAAGGACTTTTTCAGAATGCCTTTCCTCAAGAATGCTGTGAAAGGGGAAACCCAAGTGTGGTGTCACAGACCTGGGCTTGGAAAAACTGGCCTCTGCTTTAGGCTCTAAGCATGGGTCCCCTTCCCTCCAGGCACCTGACAGAGGGGCCAAAGACCTTGGGCTTTAGGGAAAGCCTCATTTCCCCAAGGTCAGTACAATTAACACCTCCCTCTTCACCGTGGACGTGTGAAAAGAGCTGCCCTAAATGAGCCCTCGCCTTAACATTCTTAGCAAAGTGTCAGATTGCTGTTTGCTGAGCCAACAAGAAGGTCTGGGCTGGGAAACCACCCCAGAGCTCGCTGACCAGGCATCCAGAGCTGCCAAACACCCTGCAGCCCCCAGAACTCAGTCAGCTGCTTAGCCTTGAGCCCATCCGCTGGCCTCCCACTGAAGGCCTTGGAACCGTCATCCCAAACCTCGGAGAGATAGAACATTCAGGCTTGAATCCTGTCAAGTTATGATCGTCTAAGAATTTCTTTGGATCCCTGAGTGGCTCTTGGCTATTAACCAGAAGGTTCAAACCCTTCCCGTGATGATCTGCTTCTGTAAAGATGAAAGCTAAGAAAACCCTATGGAGCATTTCAACTCCAACATCAGGGGCTACCAGGAATCAGAATTGACTCCATGGCAATGAGTTAGTTCATTTCTATACTTTAAGGAAATCACACTTATAAAGTGATAACCGGAGCCCAGGGAAGAAGTTGCCGTCTTGGCAGTCAACCTTTCACCTCTGCTTTTCAGTACCAGTTGGGGACTCGAGCTGTTCCTCCTCCCAAATCTCCCATCCTAGCTTATCTTACATAACCCAAATTCTTTCATTTTCTTTCTAGTTCAAATGAAAGAATGCTAATATCTTCCAAAGTATTTTCCTAAGAAACGAACAAGAAACTAGGTGGAAACACATGTGTACATCCACACGCGTCTCTGTATGTCCAGTTTCTCACTGAAGTTCTGAGAGCAGGGCCTGCTTTCCCCATCTTTCAGGTATGAGGCCGTAGGTTCCCCCAGAGTCTCACCTCCTTCGACTCTTGACTTACCACTACCCCTTTCCATCTCTGCCCTGTCCTGCAGAAGCAGAGCCTGATTCTGGAGCCCTGGTCTCGCAGGTAGGCCAACTTCACACCAGCTGTGAAATAGTGGATAAACTAATCTCTTCCTCTGAG